AGTGGTGTGACACAGAGTACAGAGGTCAGCGGTGTGGGGCAGAGTACAGAAGTCACCGATGTGACGCAAGGTACAGAGATCAGCAGTTTGACGCAGAGTAAAGTAATAACACAGAGTTCCATAATAATGCACAGTGCAGAGGTCAGCTGTGTGACACACAGTACAGAAGTCAGCGGTGTGACGCAGCATACAGAGGTCAGTAATAACGCAGAGTGCAGTAATAACACAGTGGTCAGTAATAATGCAGAGGTAAGCGGTGTGATGCAGAGTACAGAAGTCAGCGGTGTGACACAGAGTACAGAAGTCAGTGGTGTGGTGTGGTGCAGAGTACAGTAAAAACACAGGTCAGTAATAATGCACAGTGCAGAGGTCAGCGGTGTGACGCATGTTACAGAGGTCAGTGGTGTGACGCACAGTACAGAGGACAGTAATAACGCAGAGTGCAGTAATAACACAGTGGTCAGTAATAATGCAGAATACAGAAGTCAGCGGTGTGACGCAGAGTACAGAGGTCAGCGGTGTGACGCAGAGTACAGAGCTCAGTAATAACGCAGAGTGCAGTAATAACAGAGGTCAGTAATAACGCAGAGTGCAGAGGTCAGCGGTGTGACGCACAGTAGAGGTCAGTGGTGTTGCGCAGAGTACAGAAGTCAGTGGGGTGACGCAGTGTACAGAAGTCAGTAATAACGCAGAATGCAGTAATAACACAAAGGTCAGTAATAATGCAGAGTACAGAAGTCAGCGGTGTGACGCAGAGTACAGAGCTCAGTAATAACGCAGAGTGCAGTAATAACAGAGGTCAGTAATAACGCAGAGTGCAGAGGTCAGCGGTGTGACGCACAGTAGAGGTCAGTGGTGTTGCGCAGAGTACAGAAGTCAGTGGGGTGACGCAGTGTACAAAGGTCAGTAATAACGCAGACTACAGAGGTCAGTGGTGTGATGCACAGTACAGAGGTGAGTGGTGTGACGCAAAGGTCAGAGGTGTGTCGCACAGTGCAGAGGTCAGCAAAATGTGACACAGTGCAGAGGTCAGCAGTGAGACACACAGGGCAGATGTCAGCGGTGTGATGCTGAGGTCAGTGGTGTGACACAGAGTGCAGAGATCAGCAGTATAACGCACAGTACAGAGGTCAGCAGTGTGACGTAGAAAGAACACGGACTTACATTGGAAATAGTTCATCTGATTAAGGTGCTCTGTCCTCATGCCCTTTTCCGCTCCTGGTGGTGGTGAGGGGCAGCAATGTTTCCTCACATTCACAGGTGCAGCCTCCTTGTCCCCTGACTTCAGAACCTGCCCTCCTGCTCCCAGCCAAAGGTAGCTCTGCAGTCTCCCTCCCAGCCTATAGCAGCTGAAGTGGGCGGAGGAAGCTGCAGGTGGCCGCCAAGGAGCCCGAACACTGAACGGGCTGTAAAAAGGCAGCACCACCAGCTTTTCTCCTCCTTGGCCATCTGCAGCTTCCTCCCCTACTTCAGCTACTATAGAGGGGATAGCTGTAAGAGTGATCGCTGCTGCCACGGTCGACGGTGGCTTGTTTTTAAGTACTTTTCCCTCACTGGATCATCCACTGGTCCTGCTGGCGGCGCCAAATGCTCCAATACTTTCCCCGTTACTGGAACTTCCGGTCAGAAGGAGATTTCCTCTGACAGGCAGTGCCGGAAGGGAACATGGAGCCGGCTTCCCGGCTAATCAGAAAGCCAGGCAGCGGGTAATAACCCGCCTCCCAGCTTCCTTATTGGCCGGGAACCTGGTTCGATGCTTCCCGGCCAATCAGCATTGAGCAGGCCAAACAGCATGGAGCCAGCTTCCCGGAAAGCCGGCCCCATGTTAGCAGAAGTATCGGAATCGGTACTCTGTATTGGTGAGTGCAGAAATATAAATATCGGTACTCATACTCAAAACCGAAAAACCAGTATCACTGCATCCCTACTTAAAAATTGGGAACAATGGCCTCGCTTTTATCGTACATAGCTCTTTAAGTTCCCTGTGGGTGCAAGTTATTTGGTCCTGCGGATTTATTCCCATTACGTTTTTCTATTCCTTAGGAAACCCTAGCTTTCCTCAACCACAGTGGTGGTATTTTCCTCCCAGTACTACACAGATTCTTGTTGCGTTCATTAAACCAGTCACTTTCCTGAGTAAATACTGTGTAGAAGAATGCATTCAATACTTCAGCCTTCTCCCTGTCATTTGTGATCAACCTCCAGTTCTCATGTTTTATGGGACCCACCTGTTCCTTTCTTACCTATTTATTGTGTATGTATTAGAAGAATTTTGGGGGGGAATTTTGCTGACTTTGACAATACATTTTTTGTAATCTATTTTAGCTGCCTGGATTGAACCCACTAAGTAGCCCGCTTTGGGTTACCAGTCAAAGGCTCTTGGTTCCCTGAAACCAGGTTGGAATAGAGACTGGGAAGTTAATGGCAAGTGAGGGGTGTGAGGTGACATCAATTCACTAGAGTATCTGAGGCTATCCCAGATTTTAAGATTGTGGGAAAGGAGGGAACTGAGTGCCCCAGGTCTGTGCTGGGCTGGTAACCAGGTGAGCTCTTGAGGAGGGACCAGAGAACTGCCCAGTATATCTAAATAGGTCTATAGAGGGGCCCCTTGATGGCAACGAAGAGCTATTAGTGGTAGCAATTGGGAGGCCTGGTAGTAGGGTGTAATATCAGGTAAGCCAATCCCTCCCTCTCGCCTGTGTCTATATAGTGTGGCCCTGGGTACATTAGGTTTTGTAGAGTGTCAAATTAATGTGTTAATAGATCTCTGGAGGGATCGAAGAGCAAAGGAAGGAACTGTAATAGGGAGTGTCTGTAAGTAATACAGGAGTTTCAAGAGAAGGGTCATTTTTACCGCCAGACCATTATTTTCAACAAGAATCTTCCCATAGTTATAGTCTCCCTTGTGTAGACATCCAATTGTTGAGACTGCTGCTGGGCACCACCATCTTGGATGTGATGTTAGCAGCCCCAGTGGATAGAGTTGTCACTAAAGTGACACTCTCTAGTATTTACATCCACTTCACCCTCGGGCAGCTGCATAAAAGGTTATGTAGGGGGCTGAAAGGAGGGGTGGAGGAGCTGGGCCAGCATTGAGAGTGATAAGACACTTCCAGATGAGAAGCAGCCTTTGACATGCAAGGAGGAGGAGGCTTTGCTAGGGAACTGATTCTACCTGGAGCAGTCACATTTTCTAGCAAATTCAGATTGCAGGCAAATAAAAAGAAAAATGCTGCAAGTGACCCTTGAACATGTAGATTTTTCTGTGCTTTAAGGGGTTGCTCCATCTGTGTTGAGTTGCGTGCCCAGATCACTGCAGGCTTAACACCAGGGCAGGTAGAATACAATTGATTTCTACATGCCCTGTTCACACCACAATGCATAGCTGAAGTGTGGTGCAGCGTAGTCCCCGTCTACACCTAGCTGTTTTGTTGCTCATAGGTAAGTACGACAAAATGCTCAAGACAAGGAATCCTATTCATTTCTCCAGCATTGTATGTTGTCACAATGTGCTGCGGTGCAGAGACTTGAATGAAGTGACTTTTTGTGACACTTCAATAAAGTTAAAAAAGTAAACGGTGGAATGCGGTGTAACAACGCATCGTACCGCCCTACAAAACGGACACCTGCCTGCACGCTAGAACGTGGCGTTTTAGCGTGTGGCCTGGTGTGAACGAACCCCATTTTACATGCCATGAATGGGGGAGGGTCGCCATCTAATCTCCCTCTAAGGCAGGGGTCTCAAAGTTCCGGCCCGCGAGATGGTACTATGTGGCCCGCAGCCAGCTGACAAGTCGGGCATATGGTCACGGACCGCGTGCCCGACTTGCGGAAGCAGCTACACTCTCTGCATCTCTGTCGGATGCATACCGCATAGCTGCTCCTGTCAGCTCCGGCCGGAGCTCTGTCAGTTCTGAGCTCCGACCGAATGATGGATGATTAGTAAGGTCGGCACTAGACCTTTCTAAACACCACTAGATCACCAGGGAATGACAATGTGCCTCCTCCCTGCACAGATGCAAGCAGGTGAGGGCGCTTGGATGGGAAGGAAAGGAGGGAGAGGGAGTGTATTATATGTGTGCTGGGGGCTTAGGAGGGAGGGGGGGGGATTTAAAATGTTTGCT